CCAAAATGATAAAAACTCTTACTAGAATAATAAAAACTCTTACCAGAATAATAAAAACTCTTACCAAAATAATAAAAACTCTCACCAGAATGATAAAAACTCTAACCAGAATAATAGAAACTCTAACCAGAATGATAGAAACTCTTACCAAAATAATAAAAACTCTTACCAGAATGATAAAAACTCTAACCAGAATGATAGAAACTCTAACCAGAATGCTAGAAACTCTTATCAGAATGATAAAAACTGTTACCAGAATAATAAAAACTCTTACCAGAATAATAAAAACTCTTACCAGAATAATAAAAACTGTTACCAGAATAATAAAAACTCTTACCAAAATAATAAAAACTCTTACCAGAATGATAAAAACTCTAACCAGAATGATAGAAACTGTTACCAGAATGATAAAAGCATTTACCAGAATAATAAAAACTGTTACCAGAATAATAAAAACTGTTACCAGAATAATAAAAACTGTTACCAGAATAATAAAAAATCTTATCAAAATAATAAAAACTCTTACCAGAATGATAGAAACTCTTACTAGAATGATATAAACTCTTTCCAGAATGATAAACTCTAACCAGAATAATAAAAACTGTTACCAGAATGATAAAAACTGTTACCAGAATGATAAAAACTGTTACCAGAATGATAAAAACTCTTACCAGAATAATAAAAACTCTTACCAGAATAATAAAAACTCTTACCAGAATGATAAAAACTCTTACCAGAATAATAAAAACTGTTACCAGAATAATAAAAACTCTTACCAGAATAATAAAAACTCTTACCAGAATAATAAAAACTCTTACCAGAATAATAAAAACTCTTACCAAAATAATAAAAACTCTTACCAGAATGATAAAAACTCTAACCAGAATGATTGAAACTTTTACCAGAATGATAAAAGCTCTTACCAGAATAATAAAAACTGTTACCAGAATAATAAAAACTGTTACAAGACTCATACAAGAATGATAGAAACTCTTACCAGAATGATAAAAACTCTTACCAGAATGATAAAAACTCTCACCAGAATGATAAAAACTCTCACCAGAACGGTAAAAACTCTGACCAGAATGATAGATACTCTTACCAGAATGATAAACTCTAACCAGAATGATAAACTCTAACTAGAATGATAAAAACTCTTACCAGAATGATAGAAACTCTTACCAGAATGATAAACTCTAACCACAATGATAAACTCTAACTAGAATGATAAAAACTGTTACCAGAATAATAAAAACTCTTACCAGAATAATAAAAACTCTTACCAGAATGAAAACTCTTACCAGAATGATAAACTCTAACCAGAATGATAAAACTCTTACCAGAATGATACAAACTCTAATCAGAATGATAAAAACTCTTACCAGAATGATAAAAACTCTTACCAGAATGATAAAAACTCTTACCATTGTAACAGAAGAACGGATAATTCACTTGTCTTTGTCGGCCCGGGTTTACTCCGGCTATCTTTATATAACAAGAGTTTCTTAGACTACATTTTTTATACACTTCAAAACTGTCTTCTTTTTTTAAAATGTCTGGTTTAAATTCCTCCTGGCATCTATCGTAGTTGAAGTCACCACAATCTGTATCTTCTGCGTCATTATCTCTCATTTTATAATCCGATGGTTCCAATTTGATAACATCACCAATATCACAGTTTATTTCTATGTCCATATCATTTCCATCTGACTGACAACCACATAGAAATTTTATCCGTGAACTATCATCATTATATGAGTCTATGTTGGAATTCGATTCTGAAACGATACAATATATACCATTAGTTATCATTTGTCTTGGTTAACCCCTCATGAGCCACGTTTTGGAATTTGACGGAAACGACCTGATATACTAAGATGATTCAGATTTCGGGATAGGGAGGGTATGATTCTCTGACTTCATTAAGAAAAAGTAATTATCGGACCGGAAATACTGGTGATATTCCTCTGTTCTGCTCTGAAATTAGATAAAATATAACCTGTCCAATGGCCGAGAGGTTAGATTGTTATATACTAAGGGACTTAAGTTTGCTATGACCAAGGTTGTCAATTAGGTTTTTTGAATATACAATAAAACAAGCATCTTTGGTTTATAGACATGGCTGCTTTTCTTTTGTAGACTCTCATAATGGGCATGGACTATCTTACTTGCTCGATTGCTAGTGGTATTAAACGAGACGACAAAGGGTGCCATGTCTGCATTATGGTGAATATTCAGTCCTATCGGTCTTGTTGAATTTAGCGTCTCCTTTCCAATGAGCTTCTGTAGCTTGATGGAATTTCGTAGTTTCATCTTCAGACAGGCCAATCAACATGCGTTTAATGGGGATTATGATAACATCGTCTGATGAATGTTCGTCCAATTTAAAATGATTAGAAATAGGCTTTCTTTAATTTGATATCTGATCTATGGACCGTAAACCGAGTGCGTAATTTATTTTTAGATTCTTCTAAATATTGTTTGGGACATTTCTGACATGAAATTGAGTGAACTAAGTCCGAGCTTCACATGTTGGATGCTCTTGAATAGGATACCTTTTCCTAGTGAAATTACTCATGAAAAAGCGAGTTTCTGATTTAAAGGGACACCTTTTGAAACTATTATTTGACTGACAAGGTGCACTGGTTAACCCTGGACGTATTTTTGATATTTCGTTAAAATCGTACCCAAACTTTTTTAGTTTCGGGTGATCTTGTTTCAAATGAAAAGAAATCGTACAACCTGTGACTTAATTATACCAGATATGCATTGGGTGAAATAAGTTCTTGTGCAGGAGTTGTTTCAGTTTCCTTAAAATATACCTTGATATCAAGTTTATTCGTATTTTCTATTGAGTCTCCATTGTAAACAGTGGAACGTAAGACTCGACCTGATTGACCACTGATTGCTGTTAGAAAAACTCCAATTATATAAGTTTCATCCAAATGCTATCTGTTAAACTGCTACCTTAAAACAGAAAGTATGTTTTGGTAAGACAGAATCCGTTGAAAGGATTGTGAAATGTGGAGTCTAACAAGGCTCCGTACAGGGCCCCCTTCTATTTCTAATTTTCATAAACGACCTGCCACTTTTCACCAAAAACTCATCGCCAGAAATTTTGCGGATGACACTACTATACATCTTTCTGGTAAAAATCCTGACTTCATTCAAAGGTTATTGTAGGTAGATCTAGATATTATCAACTAATGGTGTTACAATAATGGCATGGTAATTAACGTCGACAAGTCAAAAAGCATGCGAATAAAAACTGAAAAAGAGCATGACAAAGTTTTGACTCTATCCATTAACGATACAGACTTAAAAAATGTCTTTGAAGCCGTGACATAAGATGATCACTTAGACTGGGGTAAACATAATATCCATAACATCTTCTAATATTTATCTTTTATGGGGAAATGCATTTCAAAATAAACTTCAATCTCTATTTAAACTCGAGCAGCGCGAAGTATCCTTGACGCGAACTTTGATGCAAGATCGCCAGACCTGTTTTCTCAATTCATTTGGCTAACTCTTGAACAACGAATTAAATATAACACTGGGTTATTGACTTACAAAATTATGAAAGGAAAATGTCCAGATTATTTTCAAAATTATTTATGTTTACAATTTTCAATTTCAACTCTCTGTCTACGTACAGAAATACACAATTCTGTGCATATTCCAAAATGCCGTCTCGGTTATTTTACAAAAACGACACTTCACAATTAGATTGTTAAAACTAATATAAACTAATAAAATAAGTTTTACCTTTAAAACACAGAATAAATAACAGCAGGTACATTAAATTCATAATGAACTGTTTCTATCCTCGTATCTTGATCTGATTTTCCTTATTGAAGTAAAGATATGATTAACAGTTTAATAATGATGTCTTATATAGATCTTCATTCCAACACTGTTTGTCCCTAAAGCGCTGTACACACTGACAACCTTTTAGAAGATCACAAGTTATATGCTACAAAATTACACAAGTCAATGAGTTAGGCAATCAACGTAGCTAGCTGACGAATTATACACCTTCATACAACCTACCCTTTTTGTCTCTTTGCCGTTTTACAAACAAGATTCTTTATATTATGGCCGATTCTCCAAACGTATTCTGTTCAAATCTTCAAAATTTATAAATTTTCTTATAAAATCTACTGTTTCTCGGAAATATTCGTCAGTATGTTATCGGAATGTTGCCGTGTGTATACAGGATCAAATTGTTGCCCAAGTGTATTAACAAGATGTTGAACAACATGTTGCTGAAAATATTGTCAGTGTGTACAGTGCTTTATACTTGGATTATTATATAACACGATCATCGGAGCGAGACAACATGTCCTTTCATAGAATATAAAAAGAAATATGAATCAACACTATTCTATAACATATTTATAATTATAACTGTTAACAGGAGAGGGTGTTCCTGTACCAAATGGGGACTTTCTCTGACAGGTCTTATTAAAGGGCCTTTGACGCCCGTCTCTTGTTGATTGTCGTATACAAATGGGCACATAAACATAAACATACATACACCTTGACACAAAAATATCAAGATGACAGACAGTGGTGTATGTATAGGATATTGGCCGATTGCTGTTCGTTAAGTCTGATATGACGACTGATTGACGTCATATTAAACGAAACGAACAGCAGAGGCCAATATTCTACTTAAAAGACAATTTGAACTATGGTCGCATGTTTTTGTAGCAAATCATGTGACCAATATTATCAGATTCTCCATAATATCACATGACCAGGCATGCACGTGCAGTAGCCAAATCAAACATGTGCTCATTAAAAATTTCGCTGTACAAATGGTGAGAGGCATGGTGGAGTACGGAAATGTGAACGTAGATTGGAATGAATATACAGACGATAGTGATATTGAAATGTTAACAGCATTGCAAAAAATTGAAGCAGAATATTTGGTAGAAAATACTGCGAAGGACAGTGATATTGAACTTTTAAATTCATCACAACAAATTGAAATGGATTATTTTGGAGCACTTTTTCGGATATTAGTGATAATGACAAGATTGAATGCGGTCAATCCAAGGTTTCTACATGGAAAATAGCAGAAATGATCAACAAGCTTATTTTGGATCGTATTCTATTATCAGTGACGGTGATACGCCGTTGGGACAACAGAAAGTTGACAACAAACGCTTTAGAGATGTGTCTCATGAACAATTGAACGATTTGGCACTTTCTAGACTCCCCGAGAATACAATCGCCAAGAGTAAATGAGCAATTCGAGCATTCGAAAATTGGAGTGAGTTCCGTAAATCAAAAGCGAGCAGTGTAAAAAATGTACAAAAGAACATCTTATATAGATATGGACAAGAAAGAACTAAATGATTGTTTCAAGTTACCTTATAGCTGAAATTAGAAAACAAGACGGTAGTGAGTACAAGGGTAAAACGTTATAGGAATTAATTACAGCAATTCAGTATCATTTACGGATTAATGGCGTTA